AGGTTTCAAGAATCAAAAGATTGCTATTAAAAGGTGCTATTAAATAGAAACCAAACTTTTTCCTCGCAACAGTGTTACTTGGAATCCAAATTAATACTGTTTTGGAATACTGGTCAAACTGTATCCAAATAAATTAATAAGTTTTAATTAACCACATTATTTATTTATTAATTAAAATGCAAGTGAGCTTATGTTTTACAACAATCAGAGTGTTAGCTTTGCAGTCACTGTGATCGATTCGGTGTTAACCACTACCGTCGTCAAGCTCAGTTCTGAGATGAAACTGGATAAATATAGGAAAGGAGTGTCGACACGAGGGTGTTCGGCCCACACAGCACGCGACACGCGGCAGTATTGCCTGCGGTTTGCGCCGCTGTCAACGTTGATACAATTAGCCAGTGTGCTGGATAGACAGGATGCTCTGTCAACTGTCTTGGCAACTTTTTACAATCAGTAGTCGTACTTAACAGTTAATAGAAGTACAAATAAATGTATATAATAATACTCTATAATGAACAAAATCTTGTTGAGACCGTGATACTTGTTATTGTTATGAATAAGTGATGCAATACGATTATAATACAAAAATATTGCTTTATTATGTATTTAGTACATTGACATTTACTCTCTTAACCATTTAACATGGACATTGATCCATGCTCTAAACATCTACATGGTAAAATAAATCTCGGAGGCGAAAGCAGGATAATTGAATGATCAAACGAACTTACCAAGTGAAGTTCGATCTAAATTATCCTGTTTTCGCCGAAGAGATTTAAGGTCCCTCCCAACCCGAAGATTTCTATATCTTCTTCCCTGGAGGTAAACGTCAATGTCATCTCTTCTCTAAATATAATGAGACCGCTCGGACACCGAGCCCACAGCGTGGTAGGGGTGGGGTTGCCCGCTCTTTTGTTTTTTACTACTACTACGCTGAATATTGTGTGCGGATTGGGTTGTCGTACAGGGGTACTACATGGTAAAATAAATCTCTTCGGCGAAAACAGGATAATTTAGATCGAACTTCACTTGGTAAGTTCGTTTGATCATTCAAGAATGGAACTAAACCAAATGCCTAGATAGTAAATATCGCAGTTAATATCGCATCAAAAACCATAATTCTATTAGAATTAACTCAAAATTATCTCTATTTTAGTAAATTGGTAAAATAAACTGTAAAATTAATTGCACAGTTATCGCCAAACCACATTACGTTTGACGTTTCAATTGCAATTTGTATTCAATCATATGGAAACAGGAAATTATATCAAGAATGGAATCATGATAATGGGATAAACTGAGCCGCATCAGAAATTGAATGTTACGAATAATACTAGCAAGTCAGCGATAAATGATGACAAACAATGATAGCATTATTGAAATATTTTTGTACATATAGCTTATAACTACGGAATACGAACAAGTTTCCTAATTTTTAGATACTATTTTACTACTACGTAATTATTAGGACTACATTTTTAACCTTAATCAAATTCTTATATTTAAAATGAAAAATGAATCACTCCTGAAAAGGAATATGTTCACATTATACGACTAAAGGTTCGGCCAAACCAACGCGATCAGCCGGCGTGCAGCGATGGCGATCAATGCATTTAAAGGTTCGGCCAAACCAACGCGATCACACGCGATCAGCCGGCGCACAGTGTGTTATGGGACTGTATAATCGGACATTCTCATTGATTTGATGAAACGTATAGAGCCCAGTTCTACAAACATGATAGTAAAACTCCCGTTTGAAAATTCCACGTAGTTTTCGCGGTATACAAATTCAAAGTTACCTATTTTTTTACTTCAAAATTATGAAAAAATATTCTCACTCGTTAACTAATAACATTTAATTCAGAATTGTTATAATACTTCATAGAGCTCTTAAAACTACACGTAATAAGCGTATTAAGTGCTTCGTAAACGCATTCAGTTAATTAGGAAAAATGATTTTAGTGATTTTTGTTTTTATTTTTTTTCTCAATTATACCTTAATATATGCAAACATTTTTAATTGCAAGATATAGTCTGATATTTAATCTAATTGTATTAATAAAATCAGCTTTAAATTCCGTGATATATTTGAGAAAAAACATAAAACGTCTTAATAAAATTTTTACGCGTCTAGGGTCGACAATTTTGGAAGGAATAATTCAAGTCTTAAAAGTTTCAAAACCCGCCTGTTATGTGCATAGTGTTGAAGGTTCTAAAAAGTCACATTCACATTGTTTTTAACCGACTTCAAAAAAAGGAGGAGGTTCTCAAGTCGAGTTTTTTTTCTTTTTTAACACTCTTATATTAACTTAAGTTGTATGTAAGTAACTAACTAAAATAGTATGTAAACAAATCTAGGAAGTCGAATTTATCCTACCTTTAATAATTTTCTCATCGATTTGAAACCTATGTAAATCGAATGTCAATACAATAATTTGGTACAATCGAGCTGATGATATTTAAACATCCAAAAGAAATATTGCTATTAAAAAGTGATGGGAAATTTACAATTCTATATGACGCATATTTTCAATTTGATTTTCCTCAAATATATCACGGAATTTAAAGCTGATTTTTTAATACAATTAGATTACATATCAGACTATATCTTACAATTAAAAATGTTTGCATATATTAAGGTATAATTGAGAAAAAAAATAAAAACAAAAATCACTAAAATCATTTTTCCTAATTAACTGAATGCGTTTACGAAGCACTTAATACGCTTATTACGTGTAGTTTTAAGAGCTCTATGAAGTGTTATAATAATTCTGAATTAAATGTTATTAGTTAACGAGTGAGAGTATTTTTGCATAATTTTGAAGTAAAAAAATAGGTAACTTTGAATTTTTATACTGCGAAAACTACTTGGAATTTTCAAACGGGAGTTTTACTATCATGTTTGTATAACTGAGCTCTATACGGTTCATCAAATAAATGAGAATGTCCGATTATACAGTCTCATAACATACTGTGCGGCGTGCAGCGATGGCGACCAGACTTAAATGCATTGATCGCCATCGCTGCACGCCGGATGATCGCGTCTGATCGCGTCTGATCGCGTTGGTTTGGCCGAACCTTAAGTCTGGTCGCCATCGCTGCACGCCGGTTGATCGCGTGTGATCGCGTTGGTTTGACTGAACCTGAAGGCAAACAACAACCTTAATGAATAGATGGTGAGGTAGTACATACTGAAAACCTTAATGAATAGTATGGTGAGGTAGTACATACTGAAGATAATTAGTTGTCAAAACTATATGAAAACTCAATCCGCACACTAGGACTACCTCTAAGGCAGCACTTTGAAACACAATTTCCCTAGATATCGCAAGTTACAAACTGTGTTACAAATAAGATAAATTACTCCACCGCTGCAAACCTAATGGACGGAGGTTGTACCTAGCACGAGTACATTTCATTGAAAAGAAGTCCGGGGGGAGACAATTCCATTTGGCCAGATTGCAAGACTTTTAATTAGCATTGAAAAATCTCAGTTAGTCCTACTCTAAAAAACTCTGTCCTAAATCTGAGCTCTATTTATCTACTTCACTCGCAATAGGACAATCGTATGTGCAAAAGAAACAGCTACCGTCGAAAGTAAAGCTACCGCCTTTCAGAATAGGGCCTCTGAAAGATTCGCCGCTGAAACGTCGTCGACTTCTGGCGGTGAGGTAAGTCGAATTAGTATTCGAAAAGCGCTCGAAAACTTTCTGTTATTCGTACTTACTTACCTTTGCATCGGTCTTGGTTCGGCCCTGTATAAACCATTCTTAGGGGAATCCGTTCCGGAAGAAGTCGGCAACAGCAGTGACGTATTCTACTGTTGACATCAAACTACGTCACTAAACCGCAGTTTCATTAAATACTGCGGTAGAATTAGAACTGGGTACTGAGTAGAGAAGCGCAATATGCCTAATCCCTACAGTGGCCCGATGGGATGAGCTCGACGAAGCTGTTGATTAATTCGCTATCTAGACTGGTTTACGAGGGCTTGCTGGTGATACCGTTATTCGTATTAGGCACAGATATAAGTAATAAATTACTATTATAATAAAATAGCATTTATGAATTTGCGATGGTTTTACTTAGCTGTGATTAATATTTTCTATGATTACATTTTTTTTAATGATTTTATAATGTTTCTTCTCGTATGTTTGGAATATGTAACAGCTAGTATCAGATTTAACATTAGGTACCTACTTTTCTTTAATTTCTTTTTATTTATTAATTTGGATTTTCATAAACCAACTATCATCATCATTTCCACCACTGCTCATGTCCACTGCTGAACATAGGCCTCCCCTTTAACCTATTTTCATTGTCCTTATACGACTTAGATGATCGGTAAGGGTGCGTGTTGCATATCAAATCAACGTAGAAATAGCATTAGGTGTCCTTTTCAAATATAAAATTACACTACATTTTTGTTTACAATTTGTTAAAACAATGTAATCCGTATTCTTTACCTAATCGAGAAACATGTAGGTAAACACATAGTAATCCAACGTGTACGTTTTATTACCAACATCAACTGTTGCTTTACGATTCGGTGCAAATCTAAATTCGTTCGGCGTAGACCTCGCACCACATTCATAAAGTTTATGGGTCCCCGAATATATGTTTGTGGCAAGATAGTAAGGTAGGGTCCTTTATAAAAACAAACTGACCCAATTCAATTAACTTTGTAAGCATACAATTACAGAATTGCATCATTCATCATCAGGGAGATGAGTGTAAGATGTAATAATTTTATGTATGAAATCTACTTTAACCGTTATCAAAAAGTCATCAACTACAGTGAACAGTCATCATGATGATGAAGAAATTGTATACCTATCTTTAAAAACTTTCCTATCTCTAAAAATGGCTTTAGGTAACTCCTGATAGATATTTTTAATTCATTAATACTTATTTCGTCTATACCTCAAGGGTGCGATAGGCGTGATATTTTGAGGAATAAAACAAGATTATGTAAGTTTTAAGTGATCTTTTATATTTAAAGCTTTAGAATCTGCAAGAAATACAAAATGTGTTAGATTAGGTAGGTAGTACTCATAAAACACTCGTAAATGCCGTAATGGTGCAAGTAAATATCGAATACTCATCCATGTGCAACCTTGCTCAATTAATTTTATTCCCAATCTTTTTGGACGTCAAAGATATATATGATTGTTTTATTTTCTTTCTATCTACTTACTTACTTAGACATTAAATTAAAAAAAAATCAATATCTTAAAGCAAAAACATTTAAGTGTCGGCATTTTACCAAAGCAATCAAGTGATATTAAAATTTAAGAGCACTTCATCTTGCTTTTCCGTATTTTTAGCTAAGACGAAATTGACGATGCAGGGGGGCTAATAACTTTCTGAAACTGCAGTAGAATAATAAGATATGTGACGAGCAAGCCAATGAACTTGAAGGGCAGAGATATGTCGACTTGAAACATCCGCAGCAGGGAGAACGACAGGTCCTGCGCCTCGGTCAGCGCGAGGAGCGCGCGCGCAGCGCTGCGGCCCGATTTATCTGAAAAATAAACACTCATTGTCTTACATATTTCCTTACGTAGTGGCAATTTTAACTGAGAGGGATTGTAAAAAAATATATTTTAAGTATCTCTTAGCATACCTGTCTAAAATTAATACATTTTCATATGAACGATAAAACACTTATCACAAAAACTATTATATGTATAATTTAACCAATGAGGCATATACTTCCAGACAAGTGAAAAAGCTTTATCTACATTTACCCAGGAGAATCACATTACATAAATTATGTCAGACCCTGCAAGTAAAGTGATAGTAGGGGAAAGACTATTTGCTTCCTTTGTTTTGAACCCGTTTATAGCACGGTGCCAAACATATAAATTATATGTTATTTAACATTCAGAAATAATTACTCGAATTAAAAATAGATTCTCAACAAATGTTTTTAGCCAATACAAATAGATGTTAGATAGCAAATTTGTTATTCCTTTGGCCTGAGCAGCCTTATCACCAGGTGAGATGCAGACCAAGAGTTTCCTCGTTGTGGATAAAATATGATTGTCGCTAAGCAAAGTATTTCAGACCTTACCGAGCTTATTCTCATAGAGCCTAGAAGCCAGGAGCTCCCTCAAGCGCCTGACCTCCCCGTGGACTCGGTCTCCGAACATGCAGGGCGAGAACAGAGGAACCATCTCCATCGCCAAGAAGGACGTAAATTGTATGGTGTCCATTGCTACTATCTGTAACAATAATTCTCTAAACCTCCTCTTCCTATCACTTGAAATACAAAAAAAATGAACTAAAAAGATAAAAACAAGCCTCAGTCGGAGTCATCAATGACTAATTCTTTTGTTGGTGATATGTATTTGATGCCTCCGACTGCATTTGTGAACACTGTGAGGCTTGTTTTTATATTTTTAGTTCATTTTTACGCAGCTGGGTTTTTTGTTTATTCAATAATAGTTTTATTTTAATCTTTTTAGTTAAATAACATACATATTTGTAAGCTACTAAAAAAGCTCTTTATTTTGATACCCCACTAGGTTTTGAGAAAAAAAATTTTTTTGAAGACATTATGGCGCCTAAAATCCGCCATTTTGTTTTTTTTTTACTTTTAATATAGCCAGTGTCACTCTCCCGATTATGACTAATTTAACGACACCTCTCACGCTAAAATCGGTCAAGCCGTTTAGGCTGTAGGCCCGTGCCAAGGAAATATACATACATACCCACATACATACACTCGAAACACATACCCCTTTCTGGCGCAGTCGGGTAAAAAGAGGACCTAATTTTGATGGTTCGTTCGTACGTTTGTTTCAGCCAAATGACGCCCACCGTTGGACAAAGGCCTCGCTCAAGGATTGACATAACGACCGGTCCTGCGGTGCCTGCGTCTAGGTTCTCCCAGCGACCTTCACCAGTTCCGCAGGAAAAAGAAAAAAAAGTGACCGACATAGCCCGCAGAATAAACTGTCAGTGGGCGGGGCACAGAGCTCGTAAAGCTGATGGCCGTTGGGGCAGAAAAGTTCTCTAGTGGCAACCACGGTTCGGAAGAAGTAGCATGGGGCCTACTAGATGAATCGACCATTTGGTGAAGGTCGCTGGAATGGCAAGGGGCGAAAAGCTGAAATTTGAATATTATGAAACATGTAAGGGCTCCATGAGCATAGTTCATGCTGGAAGTTAAATTTTTCAGCGATCGGTTAGGAGGTAGGTACTATACAGGGTGTTAGGTAAATGGGTATATGAGCCGATACTAGCCCATGTTAACATGGGCATATAAATGGTATGGTGAAGTCAGAAATTTGATAACATCATTTTAGTTTTTTTAATTTTCATACAAAATAAATTTGATAAAATCCGATTTATATGAAAAATAAAATATTTAAAATGAAGATATCAATTTTCTGACTTTACCATACCATTTATATGACCATGTTAACATGGGCTAGTGTCGGCTCATATACCCATTTACCAAACACCCTGTATAGTATTTAAAACCTATAAAAATAAAGTAATGTTTAACTTTGATGATGTTAAGGGGAGTATTATTGCATTAAAATGAAACGTTAAGACCAAGTTAAATATATCTGACTAGCTGTGCCCGCGACTTCGTACGCGTGAAAACCCGTTTTCGAAACTTTTTTCATTATTGCTCTGCTCCTATTGATCGCAGCGTGATGTTGTATAGCCTATAGCCTTTCTCGATAAATGGGCTATCTAACACTAAAAGTATTTTTCAAATCGGACCAGTAGTTCCGGAGATTAGCGCGTTCAAGTAAACAAACAAACAAACAAACTCTTCAGCTTTATAATATTAGTATAGATTAAAGAACTTTCAAGTTGTATTTTTAATTATTCAAGTATATTCCTAAAGCCTCAACTGACTTAGAAAAATCGGCCAAGTGCGTGTCGTGCCACGCGCAGTGTAGGGTTCCGTAGTTGACCGTCGTTCACACAATATATTTAAAAAGCAAGCAATTACTTCATCTCAAGTCGCTTTTAATATTTTCTTCCAAGGATTTTTTATTAGTTAAGAAATTTTATAATAAGACTATTAAACTGTCTGATCTATGAAATACTGATATTCACGAAAATGAAAAGCAGTATTTTATGAATTTTCCCAAATTTTGCAAACCAACATTTTACTTCTTAGAGGGGGGGGGACGCCCTACTCGAACAAATATTGGCACTTTAAACTTTAATATTTTGCAAATGGATCCCTAAATCGAAAAATAGTCTTAAAAACTAAGCATTTTTAAAAGACCTATCCAACGATACCCCACTAGATGGGGTAGAAGATTTTAAAAAATCTCCACTCTACATGTAGGGGGGCTACCCTAAAAAAATTTTTTTGTAATTTTATATTACCGTTTTGTCGGCGTGATTAATTAACATACCTCCACAAAATTACAGCTCTCTAGTGCCAATAGTTTCCATGCAAAACCTCGGACAGACAGACAGACATATTATTATCGAAACTATAAGGGTTCCTTGTCAGGACTACGAAACCCTAAAAAGCTATAAATATGGCATGTAGAAAACTGTGTACCTACCACGAGTTTACGTTAGGTGTGCTCGCTAGCGAGTACGTCAAAAATCTCTATGAAGATTTTGTTTCTTGAAAGTAGCCACTAGGGAGCGCTGCACAATATGTCATTTTTTTACGCAGTCGCTAGCGAGCACACCTAACGCAAACTCATGGTAAGCGCACTGGTAGCAAACTTCTGTCTTTATTTACCTCTTGACGAATAAGTGCCGTTGCTAGCCAGTAACAACTCGACAGAATTGATATAAACGTCGTTATTATAATAACCAGTAACTGAAACATGTAAATACATTAATAAAACTTATAATAACCAAAATTGTAATAAAGTACGTTGAGTTCCGAAAAACAAGGTACAAAAAAGCACTTCAATCACCTGCCATTTTACTGCATCGAGAAATAAGTCATACGCTTGTATCAAATGGTGGTAAAGGTCCATTATTTTCTTCATGTCAGTTAGTTTCGTTTTTTGACATGTGTACGACATATTAAGCTCATCGATATTGGGGCACTTAGCAGACTTTCCGTTAGACAGCGCTGACTCCACGAAATAATTGATGAGACGCAGCCGAGGCACTAGGAGGCTCAGGAGATGGCCGTAGTAGTACAACTCCAAACAATGAAGGAAACTACACGATATCATTAAATAATAAAGTAAGACAGGGCTATACAATAATAACCAAATGCCTGTCGTGATAAATATATTAAAACCGAGCATCCAAATCAGATTCTTAATAGATTGGCCGGTTACTTTGGGCCTGCAGCCAGTTTCTCCGTCGAACTTGTTTAGCTTGTTATAATATCGCTCCATTCGTTTCCAAGTGATAAAGCTGAATGTTATAATAATAAAATATTCAGCGAGATTCGTCCGAACCACGATGTCAGTGTAGCCCCCATAGAGGTATAAGACATAACTGATAACAGCTACCAATACTGAAGTATAAATGGCTGCTAAGGTTGTGAGGATGTATCTTCCTTCATTGAGTATGACGGGCAACCTGTTGAGGCCCAGTAAGCTTGCGGCTACAATATAAAACTTGGATACATTGTCTCTGAACGGCGTTTGCTTTTGTTTGAAGAAAGTGTTGACCTTCACGCTTGGGGCCGTCATGACGAATGGATGGCTGCCACTGAAGTGACCGAAGCTCCGGGCGTTTCATTTCATAATGGTCGAAATGTTAGTGATGTCCGGAACGAGTATATTAGATGTAAATTTCAACATTCCGTTTCAAAACATTCAGATATTTTTGTGTCATTTGTTCAGAGTAGTTAATTGAAAAAAGTACATACTTATGTTAAGCATTTTAACAAATTTAAATATTCAAGCTTTGATGGTGCCTTAAGTACATGTATCTTATTTTTGTATCAGCTCTCCGAGACAAGAGACAAGATGTCAATTCTTGCACTATTTAAGATGTGCTGGTGACTCTAGGTTAGTTCAGAAGCAAGTTGCAGAATTAACTACTAATCTAGATTTTAGAACAAACCATCAGACAAGGGTAAGCGATCTTCTAGATCTAAACAGACGCTACAAAGTCTTCTTAGTTAATTATTTATACAACTAGAACTAGCATAGATTTATTGTAATTAGAAACAATCTGACTCTCTCTAGAGAATGCAAGTTGGACGGCAGGTGTATCAAATTAGTTACCTTGACAGACAATTATGTGACAAGGCCATCCCACACATAATAGTTAGCTAAGGGAAAATTGGTTGGTTCCAGAACGAACCCCTTGTTTTGGTGAGATCATCTTATCAAACTCTAATACTAATATTCAAAGCTGAAGAGTTTGTTTGTTTACTTTAACGCGCTAATCTCAGGAACTAGTGGTCCGATTTTTAAAATTCTTCTAGTCCATTTATCGAGGAAGTCCTCACCGGAAAATAACAAGAACCGCAAACTTTCGTAGCATTCTAAATGAGAGTTATATTATTTTACGCACAAATTTACGCAAATTTATCAATTTGCAACGTCTCGTGGTAATATCCTTTCGTAGGCTATATAATTATCATCACCAGCCCAAAGTTACTTTCACGCCAACGAAGTACTTTTGTAGCAATGCTAAATTGAGGCTCATCCCTACTAAAATAAATAAATGGGATAACAGTAGGCCATCAAACTAATTTATTAGGAATGTATATGAGTGCCCATCCAGCTACTCTTTCAGAATATTACACGTCAAGTATGTCGTAAAACTAATTGATGAATTATAAATAACTTGAATAATACAGACAACAGCACATAAAATTTAATACAAGCTGTACCGGGTGCTCGTGTAGGTAGCTATACCCATATTATAATAAAAGTCACGATTCAATCCCGCCGCGTGTAGAGTTGCCAGCCGGACATGTTTTAGCTTTTTAGGGTCTTGTAAATATTGTCTCGTCCGCCCAGTCCGTCTTGTGTTAGGCTTTTTATATGGCTGCTGCGCTAGGCGAGAGTCGACCCATAGAATAATATCATGATCTATGACACTAATTACTATTAACTATTCGATTACTCGACAAAACGTTAACAATTCGTTTTGAGCTGTGTTCATTAACGTCACATTCCCTCACGGACACTCGTTCACGGCTCGAAACAGTCTCGAATAATTTCACTTTGATGTTTATTTCATGTTGTTGGAGAGGATGTACAGTTGACAGCACATCAGCCTATTCAGTTTTGTTGCAAAACAGCCGGTATTACAA